ATAATCTCGCGAGTTTACGCCTTGACAAACAAGGCAGTAAGGGTAGCAAAACTAATTAGTGTAATACCCTGGTTATTCCTTAAGTGATAAGAAGCGGTAGTGGTCGAGTAGGCCGACATTTTAAACCTCGACCGCATCTTACACTCGTGCGGAGGCAAGATGGCTTTATTGTCAGCCCAGGTCGATACGTGGGCGTTAGAGCTGGCCCCCCGCACAGCGCGAACGCTACCTGGCGGATTTAGAGCTGTACAAGGACGGCAGCGTCATCTAGCAGGCGGCTAGACTAAGGCGATGGTTGCTTGGTGAGTATAGCATCGCAGATTTTGAAGAGACCACGATTAGTAAGCAGGTAGCGGGACGCACCTGCTTACTACATGAGGCGTATCCATCAAAAGTGGCTCAATAAAATCTGAGACGAGTTGGTGAACCTCAGTGCAGAAGAGCACAGCAACCACCCACTGAGACTCATTAATATGGAGGGAATAACCTTGGTAAATTTGTCAAGGATATGCGCCTACCTGTATAAGGACTCGGAGGTTGAAGCCAGCTGCCAGGATCAGCAAGCCCTCGAGTGTTCGGAGGGTCAAGCTGTAGTGGATTGGGCGTAGCATATGAAGAAGCTCCCTAACCTATGGGAGAGTGCCAGCTTCAAGTCAAAGGAGAAAGCGGCACGTCAGGCGGGTTTTTACGACCGGAAGTGATCTTTCTCATCAATCAATGCTGACTGACTTAGTGGGGGGGGGGGGGGGGGTGAGAGAGGATAAATAGCGACGAAGTAGGAGATAAAATGAGGGCACTGTTACTTTTCTAATTTGCCTATTGACCAATGATGGAATATTCGAAGGGCGCTACTGATATCCGAATCAGCATATCAGCCAAGAAAATGATTTCTTCTCGGAAAAAGGAGAAGTAAATAATCTTTGACCACGAAGAACCATTTCTCATCCATTTTTACGCTTATCGTGAGCTCCGCTACAAGCCAATCTGCTACTAGCTGAGACCATCGAGGACATTGGGAATTAACCGAGTGAGTCTGCAGTTGAAATCTGTAAGTAGGCAAAGTGCCGCTCAGTAGTGATAGTTAGGGGGGCTGTGCATGATTCGTCGTATTCATAATTCTGTCGTGACACGTGGATCCGTCTACGTCGGAAATAGAGTGCTTCGACCGAGTCGCGGTGACCAATCGCCATTTTTCTGATTAGCTTGAGTGTAAATAGTGTAGAATTTAGATAGCTAGGTGAAGTACTAATCACCGTCACAAATTGGGGATCCCGCATATAATTCGTCGCGTGTTTGATTCGCCGGAACGTGCGGATACGTTGCTGTAACATGTTAAATCGCATCGAGCTGCGCTGACCATCCGCTATTCTGACCAACTTTGTATTCTAGCTAACGAATAAAGGAAAGTGAAGTGTAACCGATCTCAGTCATTTACGCCTCGTTCACTGTTCCTTCCATACATGCTGATTTTATTTTCAGCCGTGAACGATTTGTAGCGAGAATGTTTATTTACTAATTCCAAACGATAGGTGATCTACGCGCCAACTCTATCCAACTTTCGACACAGTCCTCACAGTTTTCTCACGTTCTCACGAGAATTGTTGAATAGGATAAGGAATGACTCGCGAAGCTGAATGAGCAATTAGCCTATTGGCCGGTGACATTAGTTATCACGCCAGTGGGCGGGTCATTACTGGCATTTTTTCGATTGCGGTGAGGATTGAAAGGCACTCCGCGACCACGAGCGAAACAGTAACTAGCTACGTGAAACGTCTAAATCGCTAGAAATATTTACAGTGTAATACTAATAAAGGAATCGATATCATTAAAAATTAGTGAAGTTTCAACTCGAACCGAAACATTCCACTAATCCTTCTCGACTTGTGAAGTGTGACTAGTTGTGAGCGGTGCTTTAGGTACAGTGCCGCTCACGTACTTTTACCCCCCCCCCCCCGGGCAAAATCAGTCTAACTTCAAAGTTTTATATCTCTGGTAGAAATTAACGTACAGAGACGCGCGTGGGTGCGTTTAAAAGGTCTTTCGGAGAGCTTTCAAATGATATGACTCACGGTTGCCATCGATTGTTTTTTTAAATTTTGCAACAATTATGCAAAATTGAAAATTCTGAAATTTTTTTATTATTTTTGACAATTAGCCAATTTTGGAAAAAAAATCGTACGAAAATTTGAAGTACACCATTTTTTAGCTATTACCAAGCCCTATCTGAATCACTCATCAAAAATTTATTTTCGTCAAATATGACGCGCGCACGGGCATTTTTTCCTGGAAGTGACAGTTTTTTTCAACATTTTTTATCTCCGTCAAATTGTAACAATCGAAAAAAATTTATAGGAGAAAAAATGTTTGTTTTTTTACGTAGAATACTGCAATAATTTTTTTTTTGGTTTTTCGAAAAATTTTTTTTTTCGGTTTTTTTCAATTTTTTTTTCTCACAGTTGGTACGCTAAAAAGATGAGAAACCACAAAAAAAAATTTTTTTCCACCCATTCAATAATACTACATAACAAGTATCGTAAATTACATAAAAAAAAATCTTTTTTTTTTCGACCTTGAAAAATAATTTAAACCGAAAAAAAAAAATTTTCGAAAAACCAAAAAAAAATTATTGCAGTATTCTACGTGAAACAACAAACATTTTTTCTCCTATAAATTTTTTTCGATTGTTACAATTTGACGGAGATAAAAAATGTTGAAAAAAACTGTCACTTCCAGGAAAAAATGCCCGTGCGCGCGTCATATTTGACGAAAATAAATTTTTGATGAGTGATTCAGATAGGGCTTGGTAATAGCTAAAAAATGGTGTACTTCAAATTTTCGTACGATTTTTTTTCCAAAATTGGCTAATTGTCAAAAATAATAAAAAAATTTCAGAATTTTCAATTTTGCATAATTGTTGCAAAATTTAAAAAAACAATCGATGGCAACCGTGAGTCATATCATTTGAAAGCTCTCCGAAAGACCTTTCAAACGCACCCACGCGCGTCTCTGTACGTTAATTTCTACCAGAGATATAAAACTTTGAAGTTAGACTGATTTTGCCCGTGGGGGGGTAAAAGTGCGTGAGCGGCACTGTATATTCCACTATTTTCTTTAACGCCGGACTGCAGTTCGACAAATCGTAGAAGAAACCACAGGCTAAAGGTAGCGAAGATTAACCCACTAAGACAGGTTTTTCCTTTCGATAGTCCTGCCTAGCTTCGCTCGCTTTAGACAGATTTTCTCAGTATATTACGAATATACTTGAGATTTAAAAGGAAAATTAATATTTGTAAATTCCAAACGTAGCAACGGCATTCAACTATGAGGTGCTGCTTCAAACTTAATTATAATAATCTTAAAAAGATATCAAACAAAAGTTTTACGAAATATTATACGGGTTCTATAGTTCATACCAAATCACATCATTCAAAATGACCTACAGATATCAGCAGTACTCATCCGTTATAAAATATATTATAAAAAATATAACATAAAACTGCAAAATCATGCAAATAACCTTATTAGCAAACTCGTCAAGATAACGATCCATAATCACTACTACTAAACTTAAAAAACATAAGTAGATGAAAATATAAATAAATCAAAACCAATATAATATACAAATAATTTAAAACAAATACAAAATATTCACTCGAAATTTTTGCTACAAATTATGTTAATTTATCATTATAACAATTGCATTTCGTTATTGTCAAAATATAATAGACAGATTATAAATTAATTTGGATCAAAAAAAAGTTCGCTATCTCAGTAAAAAATGGTGATCTCAAAATTCGAAGAAAAAAAAATTAAAGATAAATAAACAAACTGACTCTTGAAGTGGTTTAGCTTATAAAGTTTTCTCAAGCCCGTGGAGTGAAAAATATAATATAAAAAATTAGAAAAGATGTGTTTTTTCATTATTTTTTGAAATTGCGTAAAAATTGCAATTCCAAACATTTTTTGACCTTGTGATGGTAAACGTCCCATTAGCGCTAGCAGCCCAACCACGCGGCTGCCTGCGAGGGCAGCACCTACTGGTTGGGGAAAAATGTAACGGAGGAATTCGGCATGAGACGTACCGGAACGCGCGCGAATATAAATGAACCAGTCGATGATTAGAATCCGAGTGCCTAGCTGCAGTGAGCAACCAAAAGACAGTTTTTTAGAGTTTTGACGAGTGCCAAGACGAGCTGACGAGTTGAGAGAGAGGAACTGTGCCTTGGTGTGGCGAGAGCGAGTGTGTGAGAAAGTGTGCGAGTGGAAAATTTTGCCATCGAGGGCGAAACCAAAAAGCGCGAGACACCTCGCCCGCAAATAAACATTTCCCAGAGACTAGCGTGCGCTGCGCGGGTGTTTTCTACCTCGCTTGTTGCCTGTGCGACCGTTAATAAGGTAATTTAGCCAGTTTAATATCGCGATTGCTGTATAATTGCTAATAACTAATCCCTCGTACTCAATAAGAAGCGTGCATGTATTAACTCGGCGAACAAAGAGCGGCGAGCGATCCGACACTGCATGTTATTGTCGCACGCGCGTTTTGTAAACATAAACACGCGGGCCGAATATATTGTAGAGATAAGAGAAAATAAATGATCTCGCATATGATATTGACTGTAATTTCGGGATTATTATTTCTCGCTAGTAGAAGGTTGGTTGACTGACGCCCTTTCCCTCCTGCTCTCCGGTTGACGAGTTTAAACGTTTAGACAATTCCGCGCGCTCTTCGATGTGAACGCGGGCATAAATAAAAAGACGGAGCATTGACCCCGTTACAACCTAAATATTATTAAAATTTAACATAGGAACCACAAAATTTTTTATTTAATTCTCCTACATAATCAGTTTTTAATTAAACAGAGCTTGTTAAAAAAGTTTGAAAGTTCAGTTCAAAGACTCTCTAACTAATCATAAATAAAGCGTTAATTATGACACGTAAAAAATAGGTTTTATTTCTTGCGTATAAAAAGATTGTTATAATTATTATTATTATATCTTACTGGATCAGAAGACAACCATCCATATTTCTCTTCGAGTGAATTGACGGCAGCATCCCATCTTCCCATAAATTTATACTTTAATAATTCATCATCTATCAAATTCCACTGTCTTCTTGCATAATTATAATTTTCATTATTGCCTTGGCGAGGAAAATCCAACCATTCTGGATGTCCAAATTCGTTGCCTTGTAAAATTAAATAAATTTTCATTATTAGCATCTATTTTACGGCATATTTTTATTTGGAATGTTGTATACATCAGATATTAAAAAGCTAGTCCTGAAAATACGGTATATTTAAAAATTGAATATTGTTCTTTTCTCCTAGTAGGATCAAATAAAGTCCAACATTGATATTATAACCAAAAACAAATATATTTCAACAATCATTCTACAAATAAAGAAACCGATAAAAATAGACAAATATTCTAAACAGGTAAAATATTTCATATGTGACGAGAGCAGGCCGCGTGCCGGTCTCTCGTCCGCGTTTCTCCCTCCCCAACTCGGCTAGGCGTGGTGGCCAACGTTGGGAGCATTTAAGTATGCGCCTAACACTTGGTCTTTTGTTTCAGCGCCAAGAATGAGCCAGCGCAGTTGAGCGCAAGAAAAGTTGAAGAGCGCGGAGAGAGAGTGAGAAAGAGAGAGAGAGAGAGAGAGAGTATTAGGCCTATGCAGGGATTGGCAGGCGCGCAACGCGTGACCGATAAGCGACGCGTCGCGTGCCGCCTAACTAATAGGTCAAGGTAGGGAGAGGAGCGAGCGCCGCTGAGCGACTGCAAGATGCGCGCAAGAATTAGTGCGTGAGAGAGTCGCAGCCGAGCCTTACTAGAGTGAGGGAGTCTAAGCCCAGCAGAGAGAGCAGTTTGGGATAGCCGGAAGGAAGGAAGATCAACCCTACCGGCAACGGCTTTGCCAGCAACTGCAGCCAGCCCACCTGCTAGGAGAGTCAACGTCACCGACGGAGACCTGGTCAGCGACAGCGGTTAGCGACGGTCTGACCAGCGACGACGCCCGGTACTTCCTGCGGCAGCACATCGCCCAGGATTCTCGACGTTGCGAGGAACAAGAAAAAAAGGTCAAGTCTTCCTTTTCTTCTTTCTCTCTACACACTCTCTCTCTCTCTGTTGATGCGACGACCGGTGTGCGTGGAAAAAGATAGCCTGGCACTCACGTGCCGGCTATCTGAAGGTTCGCGCTAAGATTAATTTGTAGTGACGTAAGTTGCGACCGGTGAATTGTCCAGGCGCCCACGTGCCGGGCAATTTACCCGGTATTAGTTCGCGTAGTTTTTAAGTAAGTTTGTAATAGGTTAAGTATGCGATTTGGTATTAGGATAAAATGCGAAATGTTCATTTGTGATTATCTTAAGTAGTTTATTGTTCGATTTGTAGTTTGTTGGTCGGTAATTTAGATTATGTTATGCGCGCGTAAGTTCAGTGTGAATAATTATTAATAATAATAGGTTGTAAGTGAGATTTGATTCTTGTCTGTGTATAATTTATTTATCGACCTCCCCTCGTTCTTCTCTCTCAATTGTCATGAGCGAAAGTGCCTCACTTACCCCGCAAAAGAATTGGTAACAAAGGAATGAGTTTTGTTACACATAAAACTGATTATACTGTAAAGAGACAATCGGTTTATTTAAATATTTCAGCGACAATCTGCCCGCGACTCTATTTACGTATTAACCCATTAACGCCCAAAACCAGAGACTTTTAGACTGATTTTCGAGCCATACTTCCCATCGGAAAATGAGATATACGAGGTATGTTCAAAAAGTAACGAGAATTTTTTAATTTCGCGGGTTTGGAGAGTCCGCTTGTATAAAATTTTTTTTTATTATGTTGGTACACATGCCCCTGAAGTACGATAAAATTTTCAGCAATATTCATTGCTTACTTTTTAAGTGTCAGCCGCTAACGTTAGACGTGTTTTTCGAGCTCGGCGATTTTCGTTTGTGAAAAAAAATGGATCAAAGAATTTGTATTAAATTTTGCGTAAAAAATGAAATAAAGTGTAGTAAAGTTTGTCAAATGTTAACAAAGGCATATAGTGAGTCTGCTATGAGTAAAGCAAGGATTTATGAGTGGTATAAGCGTTTCCAAGATGGCCACGAAAACGTTGAAGATGACGAACTACCCGGACGCCCAAGCACATCAACAACCGATGAAAACGTGAAAAAAGTGAAAGAAATGGTTATGAACGATCGCCGAATCACAATCAGAGAAGTCGCTGATGATGTTGGCATATCAGTTGGCTCATGCCATCAAATTTTTTCGAATGTTTTGGGTATGAAACGTGTGGCAGCAAAATTCGTTCCAAAATTGTTGAATTTCGAACAAAAACAGCGGCGAATAGAAGTTGCTCAGGAGTCGCTAAATGAAGTCAATAACGATGCAGAACTACTAAAACGTGTTATAACAGGTGACGAAACATGGGTTTACGGATATGATGTCGAAACTAAGGCTCAATCGTCCCAGTGGAAGCATTCTGGATCGCCAAGACCGAAAAAGGCTCGACAAGTGCGGTCGAATGTGAAGGTTATGCTCACTGTGTTCTTCGATTTTAATGGCATAGTGCATTATGAATTCTTGCCACAAGGTCAAACAATCAATAAGCAGTACTACCTACAAGTTCAACGTCGTTTGCGTGAAGCAATCCGAAAAAAACGCCCGGATTTGTGGCAAAACAATTCATGGCTTTTGCACCACGATAATGCGCCTGCTCACACTTCATTGCTTGTTCGTGAATTTTTGGCCAAAAACGAAACTGTAACGATGCCTCAGCCTCCATATTCGCCAGATATGGCTCCATGTGACTTTTTTCTATTTCCAAAAATAAAGAGAACATTAAAAGGCCGTCGTTTTACAAGCATAGATGACATTAAAAGCGAATCGCTGAAAGAGCTAAAAGCTATTACAAAGATCGAGTTTCAAAAGTGTTTCGAGGATTGGAAAAAGCGTTGGCATAAGTGTATTGTATCCGAAGGGGACTACTTTGAAGGCGACAACATTAATGTAGATGAATAAATAAATATTTTTTTCATAAAACGAAAATTCTCGTTATTTTTTGAACACACCTCGTACATCGACCAAACCTACTTTACTTTATGTTTTCGGGTCCGCTCTTTCGATTTCTGACGTCAAAATTCCTTTTTTTTGCATTCCAAATCCAATATGGTACTTTATTAGAAAAAGTTAGGCTATTTTCAAAATTTCTTTTTTTAACTTTTTTTTTTCAATTACATAAAAAACTTCGATCTATTTCAAACTATGGATAAAGGTGGATAAAATAGCTATAGTTTATGGAAAAAATTTTTTTGGTCAATTCCAAATTGTTTATCATGACGAAAATGACTGCTAATTGACAAAATTTTACAAAATCAGTGGATTTTCGCATTATTTCATGTATGAACTTAAAATGGATGACTTTTTTATACTCAAACTGTCTCAGTTTTATTGCCTGACCTTTATAAGTAATTTCCAACAAATTATATGTTATGCCTAATGGCGGATTCAATATGGCGACCGGAAAACTGGAAAATCAACCTGTTTTTTCCACATTTCCACTCATACAAGTTCTAAATCCTAAGTTTACATAGATTTCTCTATGATTCGCTATATCGTAAAAGAGAATACTTTAACGGATTTTAGAAATTCAAAATGGCGAATCCAATATGGCGGACGACATAATAAAAATTTTAATATAAATGTATAAAAAAAATTGCATTATATTCTAGGTTTTATTTCGATTGAAAAATATCTCTAGCGTTTTTTTGATTAGATGCAAACATTCTCAGGAAAAAATTCTTGAAATTTCGGAATCATCAGATACGGTCATCAGTAGTTTTCGATACTTTGGTAGACCTGCCTATGTAAAATCATATGACGTGCTTATAATTTTTATAGTTTTGATTACACTGTTAGCAAGCAATAATACCACCATTGGCCTGATTGTCTGAATTGATACTCTGCTAACATCTTAGTTATTATATTTTGGTGTACAACTTAGAGTAAATTCTTTTTCCGCTATCTCATGCCTATATAAAAAGTTACAAAATGCCTAAACGAAAAAAATCGTTTGCTGACCAACATGAACTATACGAATCTGATGATTCTGATGATGATTTTGCTGAACTCATTGACCTTCCAAACCCAGACGATTCCGGAGACTCAGATGAGGAATCTGATAATGAGGATTTTTATAGCAGCAATCTTAATGGAAATATTGAAGATCTTCTTTCTCAATACACATATAGAAAAATTTCTATATGCTATAGAGATGATCAAACAAAATTGGAGAATGAACACGTATATTAGTGGGTAGATGGGGAAAAAATTTACAACAATGATATACAAAATGAATTATTGCTGAGTAATACAGAAAAAGCAAAAATTTGTAGATCTAGCTATGTTGAGTTATTTGAAATGTTCTTCACAGATGACACGAAAAATTACATCATCGAAGCGACTCGTGAAAATGGCTATGATCTTTCAAAAATAGATTTGAATACTTTTTTAGGTGTAATTATTCTATCGTCATTCAATGAAAGGAAATCTTAAAGAGATTATTGGTCATCTGATCCTCTATTGTCTTGCGATATAGTTCAACAAGCCATCATACGCAATACATTTGAACAAATCAAATCTCATTTGAAATGCTCTAAGCCTGCAGATAAAAATCCCAACGATAAGACATGGAGAGTAAGAGTTTTGATGAATAAGTTTAGAAAAAATATTCAAAGATTTGGTTAATTTCAATCAGCCTTATCCATAGATGAAATGATGGCTAAATCATACGCCAGAACATCCTTGTTACAGTTCACTCGAGGAAAACCTATATGGCGTGGTTTGAAGTTTTGGGGATGCTGCACATCTGACGGATTTTTATTAGATTTTGATTTATACTGCGGTAAAGATTCAAATGCAAATCTTCTGAATAAATAGTCTCTTGGTTCTCGAGTTGTGATGAATTTAGTGGTACCATTTTTCAAGAAATTATCTAGTACAGAAATTCCTCGATTCCATCTTTATTTTGACAATTTTGATCTTCTTTTACATTTGCAAAAGCTAAGACTAAGATGCACGGGAACGATAAGAGACAATCGCGTACCCAAAGAAGCCAGAAATGTGATTGATAAAAAAGCTTTAAGAGGTACATGTATTGCAAAACATGATCAAAAC